CGGGGGCGGTGGTTACTCAGTAGTCATCGGGGGCGGTGGTTACTCAGTAGTCATCGGGGGCGGTGGTTACTCAGTAGGCAGTGGTCTTGTAATTGAGGATGGCGATGTTCCAGTGCTTGCTTGGGTAGTAGTTAGTGAAGCCGATGAGCAGGTATTGGTGTTGGTGGTAATCTTGTCATCCACCCATTGTCGGTAGAAAGACACTCTGGTGTATACTCCCGCGTAGTTCGGATACGCACAACCTTGTCCGAACGACACCACGCCCACCAGAGTTCGGTCGTTTCCATTTGCGTTTACCATAGGTTCACCAGAGTCACCCTAAAGCAGTTTGGTATACGGTCAGGAATACGGTCATAAGAATATAGAGCGCCACAAGGTCGATTCTACTTTTTTTTCATTCTGTATGCAGTCGTTGCAACACAGCGTGTGAGCTTCTATATATCGATGTGCTGCGCATGCGCTTTTGATCATTTTATGTAAAAAGGCGCAATATAAATAAAATAAAATAATAATAATAATAATAATAATAATAATAATATAGATGCGTGAGTTGGCGCACTGTCATGCAAGTGTCTACGCGTGTTTAATGTGGCTGGCGGGCGGGGGGGGCACCTAACATCAACGCGTAGCCTTACCACTACAAAAACCATTACCATGCACTACTACCACTACCATACACTGCTCTGTAGCCCCTGCAACGTCTGGCATCGCCAGTATGCCAAGATTAGGGCGATTCTTACGAAGATTTAGACAAGGCATGGACAAGAATATTATGAGATATGATATATATGATAGTTGTTTAATTAGTAGCGGTACTCGTTATTAATGGCGGCGTGTCGGGCCCACCCAACATCAACGCGTACCTGGCACGAATCCTTCCCGGGAGCGGCTGCACACACCATTCCGTCATCAATACCACCGCCGTACTGTACGCTGCAGGTTGCTTGGCTGATGCCTATAACTTCCGCTTCTACCATGACATTTCGACTGCTGACCTGTAAGCGGCAGCAAAAAACACAGACCAAGTTAGCAGCGCCTGTTATACGTTCTCAGTAACATACTAATTATCCACCTATTCGCAATTTCGTCCTCACTTACGAATACAAACGAGTACATAGTCGGAGGAGGTGGAGCTTGAAGAAATACGACGGGGAAGGGGCAGGCTTGGAAAATATAGGTTAGATATGAAGCTTGGGGAAAGGGTCGCGAGGGGAGAAGGATTGGGGAACGTCGCTTGGAAGGCGGATGCGCGTACCACCGAAGCTTGTTGTTCCCCATCCGCTGATCACTAAGGGTTCGCCCGTTACTGCGTCCACGTTATTGTCAAGTGCTGCCATCGTGACATGGATGGATGGATGGATGGATGGATGGATGGATGGATGGATGGATGGATGGATGGATGGATGGATGA